AGGGCGCATGCGCTGTTATTACAGCTCTGATGGCGTTTGTATTTAATCATCACTGTTGCGATAACAACATCACGTTGCTAATAACACACAAAGCCACTGCAGAAGCACATTCTGGAACGACAGCATCTGGGGGCGAGGCAGCAGCGTCTGATGCGGGGCCTTCACGCAGGTTCCTGGGTCCTGTATTACGTGTTTCTAAAGAATCATCAGGGCGCGGCGTTGCCAGGGCCACGGGCGTGGAGGGCACAGGGTGAGCGGCTGGACTCCAGAGTGATGGGCCGTCTGGATCGCCGGCGTGAGCGCGCGGGTGGGGCGTCGCCAGCCGTCATGCTGGGTCTGGGCCCGGGGAGCGTGCTTCGTGATGATGTGCTCTTGGGGCCCAGCGCCTCTGTCAGCCGTCCAGTCCCGCAGAGCTGTGCGCGGGTGAGCGTCGCAGGGCGACTGAGGGCTTCTCGTTCAGCCCCCCAGGCTGCACAGACCTGACTGCTCACCGACGGGATCGGTGCCGCTTGAGCGGATGGCCCAGTGCGTGCTCTGTGTGCTGGTGCCTGTCCGTCAGCAGCCTGCCCCTCGGCCTGGCAGTGACCACAGGGGCCCTGCTGGTGAGTGGCAGGGGACGGATGGACGGCCCAGGGCGTGGTGTCAGGGGGGCCGAGGGGCGCTCGGGAGGAGCAGTTCTAGTGGGGCCACTGGGCGCTGGTCAGCTGGGCGGTTACAGCTCTGCCCGTGCATGGTTCCAGGCCTGACTCATCGGGCTCTCGCCTCCAGGAGCCTTCCCACCCCCTCCTTCCCACCCTCTCCTGGCTTCCCCGGTGGAAGCCAGTGTTGTGGCCTCTCCATCCAGCTCAGCCAGCATGTCGTGGCACCTCTTCGGGCTGTGTTGGGCGCCACTCCCAGTTCTTGCAAGCCCGCACCATCAGGAGAGGCCGTCGGTGCTGGCAGGGATTTGGTTATCACAGCGATGCAGTCGTGACCAGGAGGAGAGAGGCTGTGTGAGAGGTTTCTTCTGGGCCGCGGCCCCTGGGTGTTCAGGGAGCCCCCGGCTGGCGTGGGGCCCGGCCTCACCCCCTGGCATGCACTAGCACATGCTGCCCGGGCTGGCAGGCGGCTGCGATGGATGGAGGGAAGGTGCCACAGTCTGTCCCGAGTCCTGCCTGTCCCTGCTGTCAGTTCTCCCGGGTAAGTGCCTGCGCGGCCAGCGTCCTCTCCTCTCTGCTCTGCTGCAGCCCCGCCCAGGCGGGGGCAGGGGTCGGGAACACGGAGCGCTGGCGGGAGGGGGCGGCATCCCAGCAGCCCCACGGGCGGCGTCAGTGCCTTCATTCTCGTCCGTCTGGACCCGAGGACGCGGGTTCCCTGCCCGTGAGGGAGGTGATTGAAGACACGCTGTGAGTGGAATAAGCAGTGTCTTCACGTGTTTGGGGCATAAATTAGCAAAATGCTTCCGAATGTCACCGCCAATTGGAATGGAAATGCCTGGCCCGGGGAGGTCGAGGGGCCCCGCCCGGGTCCAGGGAGCTTTGGGACCAGCGCTGGCAGCGACGGGGTTACCCCGGAGGATTTTATTGAACCACAAAACCCTATTTATAGCCTGTGTCAGGAGCAATTAAACTGACTGATGATTAAGAAAGTTTAATAGTTGACTAATAAGATGCGGTCTGACAGCCATTTCTCCTCATCGGGAAGCACGTTTCTGCGTTAATAACAGTGAAGGCTGGGCCGCGGGCCCTGCTATGGGTGATTGCGCCCTGCGACGCGGCTCTGTCTAGCGTTGCGCCGTGTGTTCCTTATGAAAAATTAAAATGCCAATTATGACTTTTTGATTTATTATCGACGTGGCTTGTTAATGTTGACTTACTGCAAGCAGGGCTAATTAGCACCTATCGATGTATCTGATTAAAGTACCCCGAGTGGGGTCGCGTAAGAAAGGTCAGGCAGCATGAGTTACGTCCCGGCCTCTCCGACGGCTCCCGTGTCCGAGAGGAGGCGGCCCCTCACTGACCGGCGGGGTGTGCGCTGGGCGCGCTGCCTGCAGCAGCCCCTGCCCCCCTGCCCCGGGGCGCTGGGCGGCGGCAGTTGTCCTCTTTCAGCGCCGTTTCTTCTCTCTGTGAAGAGCAAATGGATGGTTAAAACCTTCTTTTTGGGAATAAGCAGAGATGTTACAAAGTGGGGAACACGAGTGAATAATAAACTTAAAAAGAAAGCCCCAGCTAGTTCACTAGTAATGGCAATGCAAATTGAGCCAATATGCAGTTCTGTTTTTATCTGTCAAATTAGCAAAGGTGAAAAAGGATGACCCTCCGTGCCTGCCAGGTGAGGAGATTGGCCCCGCAATCCGGGCACAGCCTCCTGGGAGGGGCTGCGCTGCCCGGGAGGCCGGCGCCTTCTCCGCGCTCCTGGGACGGGCGGCCCTCAGAGGCGGCTCTGGTGCGAGCCCTGCATCGGCCTGGGCTGGCACCAGGGAGCCCCCCCCCCCCCCCCCCCCGGGGGGGGGGTGGTTTTCCGGGAGCCGGGAGGGGGG